ATATGTATGTATGTATGTACATCCTATGTATGTATTTATATATGCAAGTGCTAAGATCAACTTAAAATTTCCACTGCCTGTAACAATGTCAGCTTAAAATTTGGGCACCACCATTTTGACACCCCAACCATGCAAAAGTTTGCCTAGACTGGACTTCCTGTGAATTCAGCTCGAAATAAATAAAGTGATTATCGAACTTTATTTGCTTACTGCTTCGCTGTGTAAATACCAAAATATTAATTGCAATTATCTGGTGTAGACTGTACTCATATGTATATATGTAAGTACATACATGTATGCATACCTGTAAATGCTGTCAATGAGCATCATCAACGTCACTTTAATTATCATTAGAACCTGTGAATGTCAATGACAGCAAGGAATGTCATAGCGGTCGGCTGATCTGGATGCACAACGATTTATTTTTGTTGGCTGCTGCGACTGCTTTTGCTTTTTCATTTCGTGTGCGTCATGCCGCCACTTTGCCGTGCACTCTTTCAGTGTATATATACGTAAGTATATGTATTTGTAAATATTAGGAATTAAAATAGATTTCTTACAAAACAACAAAGCTGCCGACGGCCTTCACCTGTATGCTCTTGAAGAAGGCCTGAGCAAATTAGTTTTTGCCCTCACTTAGGGATTAAATGTAGTACTACTTAGTTAATTACACGGTGCTATAAAAAAAAAAAATCTCGAAATACACCTGAAACAAAATTTGGTGTAGGTTGTGTAGGTGGGGTCGAGTACAAATTCCCACATTTGGTCGAGATCGGTGAAGTAGTTTTTGAGATACACATACATGATGTAAGAGGGCGGTGCCACGCCTATTTTCTAAAAATTTTATTTTATTTCTATATATATACAAACTATCAGTAAATATTGAGGAATTTCTTAGCCACACTGCTCAAAAAATCTGAATGTCCGGCGCATACACATACATATAGGCCGTATTTATACTTAAACTGCTTAAATTCGACAATTTTAATGGAATTGCATTAGTTGAGGCATAAATTTATTCGACAATAAATGTACCTTTAGATAAATACTACATATTTGGCAACCTTCATAGAAATTCTTGAAATTAGGTCAAAGTTGAAAAAATTATGAAAAATTGGGTATTTTGAAATTTTACCTGAAGAAAACTCTCCACAAGCTAACAATAACATCGTTTAAAAGGCCTATAAATCCCCTTTTCATGGCACGTTTGATTTTTAAAATCGGATGAAAAATTGCCAAGCTGTTCATAGGCAACTGCGCAGGTTTTACGCCCACAGCCACACCTTGAAAGAGCGTTTTGAGAGCGCTGCGAATATGGAGTGAGAAGGGAGTCAAAATGTTTTCATGTTATCTTTTTTTTTTGTTTTTTGTATCTATGTAGTCTGTGAATTGAAAAAGAAGTTTCCAATCAAGAAGATACTGATCGTCGTTTCTGAATATTCCTGAAAAGGGTCACCGCAAAAAAAAAACTGCATAAAAAATTACTTTTGTCTGACTTTAGAACTTTTCAGATGTATTTAATAAAAAATATGCTGCTTCTGGCAAAGAATTCCATAGAGCGGGCGCAAGGTGGTTTCAAACCTAAGAAGAACGTATTTTAAACAAGATAAAAAATATTTTTAGATTTATTTCATGATTTTTCCGTTTTTTCTCTGGTTTTATGGAATAATATGTAAATCATTTTTTAGTTTAACGTTTTTTCAATTAAAAGAAATGTTGAAAAAACGTTAATACTTATTAATTATAAACAAAATTAAGAACATTGTGAAAATCCGTAAAGCCGAAAAACAACGTCTTGGTTATCTACGGAGGATTTAAGAAGTCCTTTTCACAAATTCATAGGAGAATAGGGGAGTCTGCAGGGAATCTTTGCTTTTTGGGGCTCCGAAATCAATCATTTAAGGAGTCCTAAAGCTACACTTTTTTCATATATATTGAGAATGCCCTTTTCCCCTGCGGGTATGCTTCTTTGGGACTGTTTTTGGAGCCTCCCTAGGAGCATCAACACACCGTACAGTAATCAAAACCACTTGAAGGATCGACCGATTTCGTGTGCAAAAAATAAGCACTGCACAATAGTTAATAAGGAATGGTTATATGTCGCCGGATAAGAAAATGTTTACTATGGTTCAATACTGTCGTTTTTGAAAGTCCATAGGAGCAAATAAGATACGCCGCACAATTTTTAAACTCTCTTAACCTTCTTAATTTTTCTTGATTGAGTAGCCATTTATAATGAAATTTGTCAGCTAGAGAAGTGAAGTGATTGAAATTTATGTATGCGTTGATCTAGGAGTACCTTTCTTAACTGAGATGACTAACCTTTTAACATTTTTCGAAACAGTTAAAGAACACTAAACTTAGAAGGTAGTACCAGGACATATTAAACAGGTATTAGGGCAAAAACTACATTTATTTTATAGCTTCTCTTAGGTTAGGTTAGGGCCCGTTGTGTTAGAGACTCCATATGTCCCAACTCTTACCCTAGAAATGGAACCACTTCGTAGCTCTGATGAAGCGCACAAAGTCATAGATACTGACTGAATCAAGTTCGGCCAGACATTAAAAAGAATAATGGAGGAACGAGCATCGACGACCTCACCGCCAGAGCAGGACAGTGGCATAAGTAGTGCTCCACGCATTCGACTTCCTCCTCTTCACGGCAGCTACGACAGTAGTCGTTTGACTGCAAACCCATTTTAGTAGCGTGGATTCCCATCAGGCAATGCCCGGTGAGAATTCCAATAACTTGTCGCAGCAGTGGTCGCTCCAAGTGGAGGAGAGGGAGAGATCTACGCTTGTCCAGCTTAGGCCAGAGATGTCTTGCTATCCTGCTTCTCTTATCTAAATTGTCAAAAACTGTTCTGATACAAAAAAGTAAAAATTAAAGATTAAATTAAAAAAAAAAAAGAAATAGTAAATTTGTTTGCTTCTCGAAGCATTGATCCATCATTTGCAAGGCGCAGTAATGAGCGTTTGCGCTGCTAAGTTAGATGAACGTTCACGAAGTTGCTTTTCAATCGCCTGTATTGTATGGGAGAAGATTTCACATTTATATCGAGCCCAAATTGCCAAAATAACGTAAGCGACATTTTTTTCAAAATTTTCTTTTTGATGAAGAAATATTCCTAGAGCATCTAGATTCATTTCTGCATCAAGTCTGCAGAATTAAAGTCGGTTTTGTTTTTTGGTTCAAAATTACTTGTTGAATTAGAATACAGTCTGTTCCCTGACAAAACCCATCCTAACGAAAATTATATAAAATTTTCATCAAAATTTAAAACTTTTTCCCTAACCCCTTGCTTGCATTGTTTATATGAAAAAAATTGCAGAAGAGTGTCAGTCAAAAAATTAAAAAAAAAAAATAACGGTAATGTGTAACTTCTTCAAACTTGCACTTTACTACACTCAAATTTAATTGGCTACATACAAACCTACGTACTCAACACTTTGAAATTTTTATGCATTTTTTTTAATTTTCTACAAAATTTGAAACTTTCATTTACATATCGATACCTGAGTGGAAGATCGACCTATCTCGGTAGCGAGTTCGAAAACGCCCTATCTCAGAAAACTTTTTAAAAATGCCCTACTTCAGAATGTGATTGAAGATCGCCCCATTTCCGAATTTTATTGGAAAACACCCTATCTCAGAATTTGCAGCTGAAAATGTAATGAAAATGTGCTGAGATAGGGCGGTTTTGAATCAGCAGCTGAGATAGAGCGTTTTTCAATCAAATTTTGAATTAGGGCGTTCATGAAAAGTTTACTGAGATGGAGCGTTTTCGAACTGGCTGCCGAGATAGATCGATCTTCCACTCAAGTGTCGATACATATATGGCTTTTGTTAGAGAATGAACTGTATTTTAATTGAAAAATGATGGAAATAAAATAAAACAAAAGTAACCCAGAAAAAAAGCGAAAAAGTAATATCCCGATTTAAGTGCATTGGAGAGTATTCTTAGAAGAAAACGGACAAAACTCAATTTTACAGAGTTTTAAGTGACTTTTTAAGGGCCTTTTTTAAACTAATTTGAGGTTGATGAGCATGAATTTGGTATCCATTTATTTTTCCAAAAAGCCTTTTTTATGATAAAAAAAACATCTTTTTAGTATAAAAAACCCCTTAGAGTAGAGATTTAACCGTTTTCTCAATACTTAATCCTCTTAAAATTCGATGAACCAAATAATACTTTGCTTCCTTCAATATCCTCTCTCTGCGCTTTTCAGAAAAATCAGATTCTGATATAAAAATACAGCTAAGACTTAACCGTTAACAAAGTCAGAATTAACATCAGTGATGACTGGTAAGTCCCACATGGGTTCTAACATCGCAAAGTAGTAGTAGAAATCATTGCCTTACAACCTTTATCTAAGCATATTTCGTCTGTAACTTTTGATAGCTCAACGTCTTCTTAATATCAATTTTTTACCAGGAAAACCTGGAAAAACAATGGAAACCAGAATAGAGGAAAAAATGTTCAAGTCTCCTAATTTTGCTATTAAGCTGGCATTTCAGGGTACTATTTTATATATGTGTATATAAGGAAAATTTGAAAGTTAGGGGGGGAGGGGCTCGAGCACCCCCTGCCCTACCTGGCTACGCCCATGGTTGCGGATTTTACTTTCGCAAACTTTAAGGTATCTATTTCTCAAAAAACGAGTTTTCTTCCTGCCATTATAAATTTATTTGAGAAATTTTATCTTTTTCAAAAAATAAAAACTACAAAACTTTTAACTTTTGGTTATAAAAAATTAGTCACACTCTTTCTAGGGTTAATACACGTATTGAGTTTGTTTTAGATAACCCTGTTTAGTATATTGAAATAAGATATAAAAAAATGCTTTGTTATGTTCTTTATTAAGCGATTTGACAAAATTTAATTTTTAATTATGTTTCGTAATTCAGTTTTGATTGGCAGTAAATTTAATTGTGCTAAGTTGTTAATCCATGCTAAGCGGTGTTAAGCGATTTAGACGATTGATTTTTATTGACTCACTTGATTCACAATGGCCGCTTGTTCCTCGGCTACATCCTGTTGGTGATCGCGCGTCGGCATGGGACTGAAGCATCCGCTCTCGCGCGGTGCCACATAGCCGCCAGATGCGTTCAGTTTTGGAAATACTGTTTGCGGCAACGAATCAACAGGTAATTGTAGAGCACGTTCATAATGACCGGGTCCTGGCAAAAATGGTGAAGGTCCTCTGCGAACGAACAGTTATGAAATGCGTTAAAAATTAAATAAAGAAACATTCAAATTTACACACAAAAACTTGCCTGTGTGGCACATTGGCATTGGATAAGTCTGGGCTGTTGCTATTAACTGGTGATGAGCCGAGACCAGTTCCGTACGGTTCGGCGCCGAGTCCTTGTGTGTATGCGATTTTACTGTCACGATGCACGACGATTTTGATTTCATTGCCGGCGTTGCGGAAAAGCGTCTCAGCGTCGGCGTGGTTCAAATCGCGGGCATCATAATCACGTACCTTGGCTATTATATCGCCACGTAGCACTTCCCCGTAAGCAGGGCTTCCTACTTGAACCTGTAAAATGGAAAATACACGCATAAGAAAAGTGTTTATGTACCCAACTTTGAAACATTTTTAATACAAATTGTGCATGTAGCTCGATTGATTAGAAGTAATAAAAAAAAAAAAAACTGATACGAGTGTCGTTAGAGTCCCTTGAGGGAACTCTTACTAAAAAATGGACCCACATACATAAATTTGTACATTAGAGCGGTCCAATTTTTGTATGGGGAAAAAATTTCATCCTAGAAAACGAGGCACCCCCACAGTTTTTTCTTTTGATATTTGAGGCCATGAGGGCCAGAGTGGCGCAACTGACATTTCAAAAAAATTTTAGGTGCACTTTAAAATACATTACTAGCATCGAAACGGTAATAGCCCGAAGCACACCCATTTAGTATTCCTTTACTAAAATATGTAGCATCACTTAGGTGCAATGAACATTTTAGTAAAAGACCGCCTTTTTTGTATAGATCCTTCTTTCTCATATTACTAAAAAAAATTTTATTGGAGATAGGCTCCTCTGGCCCTAATGGCCTCATTTGTAATATCAATATCATCTTTCAGTTTTCTACTATAACCAATACAGGGTGCACAATAGCCTTGAAATGTGCTACTGGATCGTTGTGATACTGGCAAAAATATTGGTGATTTTTATAAAAAGTTAAGTTATCATTAACACTAAATATGCGACAAAATCGCAATGACATTTAATAAAATTGGCCTACAGCGACATCTAGCGCAGAGCTAATAAAGAAACAAACTTCAAAAATGAATTCCTCGTATCAGGAACTCTTATATGAATATTTTCTTAGAATATTTTTGAAGAACTTAACCTAATTAAACAATAAATTGTGTGCAAGGATTCGATTAAGGATATCTACCATATTTGAGCCATTAACGTAGTATTATTAACACCTAAAATTATCACTTGCATTTGATTTTACTCAATGCCGATTTAAGCTGTCGCACAGTGTAATGAGCCGAAACGACGCTATGAACTTTTAAAAGAAGCTTGATTTGAGACACACTAACAGGTCTATTCTGCACGTCAGCGCTGATTTTGTAACCGGAAAATTGTTTTTGTGTTTGTTATTCAGCAATTCAGCTATGAAGATTTGTAGAAATTCTGGCATCGTATTTATCACGGGAAAATATTTTTCGTTACCAGCCTATAAGAATTTACATACAGATGTATGTCATAAGAATAAGGCCATAAATCTATAAAAATTGACTTGAGATCGTGTGTAAATATTTGCAACATTTTATCAAAATAAATCACATTCAATGTTCAACCGAATTTAGCTTAAAAATGTACATGGATGTCAAATCAAATATGAAATGTCGCACACAATCTGTCCCCATTGCGAGTGGTATTTTTGGGGCTCATTAAATCATGGACGTGGCCTTCAATTTCTAGTAGTTTTTCGATTGACTGAAAGTGCAAATGCAAATTGTGCAAACATAATTGATTTCATTTACAAATTCATACACATGAGCGTTTATTTTTGTTCATAATTATCACAGATTGAAAAGCATCACTTTCGTGGACGATGTATTCATATGTGTAAGCAAAAATAATAATTTGTGGGAAGCACTTGCTATCGAAAGTTTTATATTCATGGCTTTGAATGGAGGAAACAAAAGTCATTTCAATTTTCAGGAGATCGTTTTACCAAAGAACACCATAGTAAATACATACACACGCATTTATTCAGAAAATGCAACTAAATATTCCGACAGAAAAAAAGTTGCCGAAGAAGAGGAGCTGAACTAGAGTCCGACCGATTAATCGGCATCGGCATCGGCTAGTATCGGCCAAAAGAATCGGCATCGGCATCGGCCGTTTTAATTTTTTTTTGCACTTCATTCCATGTTATTTTTTTTTTTACTTTTTTAATTCCTTTACATCTTAAAATATTAATGCAATCTGAGTTTTCCTGACATAAATGTGTTCTCATGTTCCGTTTTTATGATGTACGGTGGCGAGAATGTAAATAGGGAAGACACATTTTAGCAAGTTTTGGCTATTTTTCTTTTGACAAATTTTAACAAATGTTCATCAAAGTTTGAAACTGTTTAACCAGCTTTTATATTTTTGATTTCTAATTTTTTTTGTTTATTTTTTTTTTAGTATAATACTTATACTTATCTTACTTATCGTTGATTTTTGGTTCAAGCATTTTGTTCCATACAAAGTATGTTCGAATTTTTTTTTTTTGTATGGAGAAAATCAGCAACACCTTCCAAAAGTTGCCAAAAATCAAGTCCTAGCTACTTAAAATTTACACTTCGTATAATAAAAATTGAATGGGCTACAAAGCGGCATACTCAAAATGTTTCTAGAAAAAACTAATTAAAAAGCTGTCAAATTTTGCTAATTTTTGTACAGAGGTTGAAATTTTTTTCATAAAAAAGTATTAAACATTAAATAAACGAAAGGGAAGTAGCCAAAGAATGCTAAAATGTCTCTTCCATATTAAAATTTTCATCACTGAATTCCTAAATCTTTCGTGAAAACACATTTATAGTCAGAAAAAGCTGCATATTTTTACTACTATGGGTACAACTGGGAAATGTAATTTCTAATAAACTGTTTATTTTACATTGAATAAGAAAAAGACTATGGAACAAAGTATTGCAATGATATGTATAAGCGAGATACTATTTTTTAAAACATATTTACGTATTTACACAAATAAGTGAATAGCTTCTTGGATGATTATTGTTTTTGTAATGTTATTTAGTCATTTGATTTTTTGTTATTACTAAAATTTTTAAAAAGTATTTGTTCTTGAATGTATGGTAGTTTTTTTAAACAGTCGACATCGCCCAAAAATTGGAAATCGGTCGGACTCTAGGCAGGCTGAACACAGCGCTTAGGGATTATAACCCTCACTAAGTAGAATTCTCATTTCTGTGTTGCCTTTTGCAGATTAAGAGTAATCAGTGTACGCATAGTTTGAAAATTTGTAAAGTATACCATATTTCAAATTAAAATTTTTAATAAAAATACTCATTTATTCCCTAATGTTATCGAGATCAATACGAAACAAAAGTACATAGATTGATGAACATCCCTTCATTTTTGTGCATTTAATTTTCGAACATCTGGTAACATCTTTCTATTCAACATTACAGCCAATTTTATTTGTTTGCTTGTTTACTTTGTTGAAAAGAGGTATTGAAATTATTAAACGCGTTTTATATTGTTAAAAAATAACATAAAATACACTTAATGCATAAAAACTTTACGTGAAAATTGCAAAGATTGTATATCTATGCAAATATAAGTTATAAGTGCTCTTTTTGTATGAAACTCTACTAGTGAAACTGCAAAGAATTAAAAAAAAATTAGTTAAATACTATTACTGATAAAGTGAAAAGAGTGATAAATAATGTAAGTATAAACGTTTCTTAACATCCCCGTCAAGTTTCATGAAAAAATTCCGGCTAGTTTTGCTAAAACGCCCAAAAGCCAATGTAATAGAAAGCCAACGCTTAATTAATGGATTTTTTAAGAATTACACGTCTATATTTGTTAATATGCATAAATAAAAATAATTGGGGTGCTGAGATGTTTTTTATGAAAACTTTATTAGAAATGTTAAAATATAACTATTAAAAATTCATAATAATTTACCTCATTAATTTTTCTCTTTTTAACCGACTTCAAAAAAGGAGAGGTTATCAATTAATCGGATTATTTTTTTTTTTATGTATATTACCGCATAACTTTGGACCCAATTAACCGATTTCGATAATTCTATTTCGGGTGTCTCAGGAGAGGTCCCATACTAATTTGGTTTAGATCCGATCATTGGATCATGAAGAAATTAACGGTACTTCTAAATTTTTATATGAGAATTGAAGTCGGTATTGTTTTTTGTTAAAAAATTACTTGTTAATTTTAACAATAGTCTTCGAGGGTCTTCTGCAAATCGATAAATTGTTGTAGTGATGATTTGATTTTGTTTTTTTTTTTTTGCGCCCCCTTGGCCCATACCTGCGTACGGCCATGTATGTTTGTATCACAAAACTGTTACTCCCAGCCTACAGCAGCAGACAGCAAAATACCAAAGAGATTATGAGCGATAAGTATTTTTTGAATGGCTATTTCATTCATCTTATAAATAACGGTATTCGATGTATCTTAAACTGAATAACAAAGAAATGCAAATTATCTGCCGATAAAAAAAAAATTTCAACAGTAACGATGCGCGCAATTTACTTCGGAATTGGGAAATGGTGCCAAATCTACCGTAGAATAGAAAAAAAAAATATAAATAAAACTGATATTGGGAAATTGAATTTTTAATCTGAACTTGCATCGTTTTCACCCAATTGCACCGAGTGGCAAGTGGATGCCTACCCAATTTACAATAACACAGTTTTTTTTTCTTTCCGCTTGTTACTTGTTTTGCTTTCACAGTTCTTTGTTTGTTTTAATCTGCTTGCACACCGCCACTGGCTGCAGAATGCACCCCAACACTCAAAGACACAAAACAATTGGCACTTGGCCGAGGTTCTTTTGCCATTTTTTTTTTGCTTGTTTTTGCATTTTTTCTTTTTCTATATTTTTTGGTTTTTGGCCTTCATATGTTGCAGAGTTGCACAGCACAGTCAATGGTCTTAAGATCATATTACATAATATTCTCATGAAAGGAGGTAATCACCGAGCTGATTTATATGGTACTTGTGGTAGGGGTGGACGACTTATTTTATCGCCTTTTATTACCCTGGTTATGATGAGCGGCGTGTCCAGATCATTGCCGCCGACCAGACGTATGCCCCAGGGTGTATTGGGACCATCTCGTTGCAGAACTACGGTGAATTCATGTAGTTTCGGGCTCATCGCTTGCCACGTAAAGCAGCTTCCTTAAGGTGAAAATAACGTCGACGACGACGAAGCCAACTACTTTTTCAATCGAACACAAAAACAGGACACTTCGCAAAAAACTGTTTCGTCGTAAAGGCAAATATAAAAAAAAAAAAATCACAGCGCACTCGCGTTA